TCGTCGGCATGCGTTCAAGTGCAAGAGTCAATGCACAACATATTCAAGGATGGAGTGCTGAGAGCCTTGGTGACTAAATTTGAAGTGAAGTGAATGAATGCATTCTAAGTGTGTGAGTGTTGCAGATTCTGAATTAGCGATAATGTACAACGATGAGTCTGTACTCGAACAGCATCACCTAGCCGTTGCTTTCAAGCTGTTGCAAGATTCAAATTGTGATTTCTTGGTGGGCCTTAACAAGAAACAACGACAACTCTTCCGAAAGATCTCAATTGAAATGGTTCGTTCAGATACTCGTCTATTCGCTCGTATCACTTCGCCATAATATGATTGAGCGAGCTACTTACTTCTCGAAAACGATTTAAAAACGTTGTTTTTAAAGTTTTGCTCTCTTGAAGAGTTTAAAGTTGGACCTGATTTGTTGTGTTTCCAAGCTGATCCTGAAAATTCGTTCGTTTTCACTGGTAGTTTTTTTTAGAATCTAGTGATCGTCAGTCACATTGCGATCGCATAAGGAATGATTGTTGAAATTCCGTTGTTGTTGAAATTTTGCTGATTTTGAGATGCTCAATGCGATTTCCAGTGAAAGATGTATATTTTACGAGGAACTTTGCATCTAATGCGTTCCATTTCTATTCTATTCTATTGAAGGTACTCGCCACGGATATGTCAAAGCATATGAGTTTACTGGCTGATTTGAAGACAATGGTTGAGGCGAAAAAAGTGGCCGGATCTTCGGTGCTCACCTTCGATAAATTTAATGATCGATTGCAGGTGTGTTCACGTTCAGATAAGATATGTCTACTCACTCAATAGAATTCAAATATCCATCGGAGAAAATCTCCTCCCATAGCAGCAAATTACTCGAAGTTGAACTTTATTGGGCTTCTTTCCGTAGGATGAGCAGATTTAGAGTTGTTTGAAAAATTGACTGTCAATGTGGAGAACATCAACGGAACGGACTAATTTTTGATCTAATTCGCCGTCTAATGCCTCTAATCGACGATCTAGTTCATGCATTTGTCTGTTGCAATTCAATTGATGCGAACAAGCATGATCAACACAAAGTTTTTTCTCAATGCTAAATAATCGTTTCAGTTGCTGCAATCAATGATACATCTATCAGACCTATCGAATCCAACCAAACCAATCGAGTTGTATCAAAACTGGAATCAGCGAATTTTGGAAGAGTACTGGCGTCAAGGCGATCGAGAGCGTGATCTTGGCCTTGAGATCTCACCGATGTGTGACCGAAATAATGTCACCATTGAAAAATCACAGGTCAAATAACGCTTGTTGTGAAATTTTTGTGCCAAATTTATCATCGAGATCAGTTAAGAGAAGAGTTTGGAGCAGATCAGATGATGGTTTTAAATCGGATATATTCTGTTCAGGTTGGCTTTATCGATTACATCGTTCATCCGCTGTTCGAAACATGGGCCGATTTGGTTCACCCGCATGCGCAGAATATTTTGGATCAATTGGTTATGAATCGTGAATGGTGCTGTTTTCTTTTCACTTACGTCAATTCACATTTCAAAATTCTTTTATAATTTGAAATTTCGATTGTTCAATCGTATTTGAAAGCATTTCCTCGAGATCACTTTTTCACATTCTGCGATATTTTTCGTGTCTCTCAAAAAATTCTTAACTGTTTTAGTGTTAATTAATGAAGTATTTCATGATTTGTGGAATAATTTTTTGCTTATTTTCGCAATATTTGAACAATAATATCGCCTAGTAAGAGCTGATGTTTCCATTAACACCGATAATGAGCAAATTCATATGCTCATTCAGAGCATATGAATTTTACTGTCTCATTGAAGTGAGGAGAGCAATTCAATGCGTCGTTCTCCGTGTTGATTGTCAATTTTGAACTTTGCAGGTATCAAGCTAGGATTCCCGAGGAGACCACCGAACGA